TTTAAACTATGCATTTTCCTTTGTATCTTATTGTTTTATTTGTAAGCAGCCTTGAAATATGTTTACTGAAGAGCAGCATATAAATCTATTAAGTAAACATAAAAACAAAAGCCTAATGAATAAGTGAGCTTGGATCCCAGGGCTTGCTTACGGTGCTCTATATACACATTCGAGCTTTCCCACCTATCTGTTCTTGCCATAGTCCATCATGCTCCCAGAAAAGTCACTTGCTTTCTTCAGAATGCCATTCCACTGCAGTAGGATGACAGATGTAAATCATGGATTCAAGCTATGTACCTCAAAACCCTCAGTTCTTACCTTTTTTTCTATTCCACTGAAGAACTGGAACATAGTTATGTTGGCAGGAGGCTTGGACATGCCCAAAGCAATACATATGCCTTTCAGCTCCTGAAAGACTTCACTACCACCCCCCTCCTGGGCTTTTTTGGGAGGAGCATTCACACAGAGCATTCTGGCAGCTTCCAGTTCTGAGATGAGGTATGCTGAAGGAAGAAAAGCTACAATTTAGCACCTTTTAACAAATATCTGCCTTAGTTAGTTGTGAACATAAAAGAAACTATTCTGGATTCCATAACATATTTATGTTAACTGAATGAGAGGTGAGGTTCAGATAAGACAAGGATCTAAAAAACAGAATACCACGTGGCAGATCTGCTAAGGGTAACAGTGCTCAAGCAAGCATGGAATGCCTTTGCAGAATGTGATTTATTAATTTAGACATTCAGACATTGCTTTTTAAGCAAACCTCACAAAGTAGTTTACATAAGAATATGGTAGAGCATGAGACTTTTAATCTCAGGGTTGTGGGTTCAAGCCCAACGCTGGGCAAAAGATTCCTGCATTGCAAGAGGTTGGACTAGATGACTCTTGTGGTCCCTTCCAATTCTATGATTCTATTAACATAAATATCAATTAAAACTCTGTACTAAGACAGCACAAAGCACAAATAGGGGTGGGGGGAAGCTAGATCTCTTCCAAGAGCAGGATGGTTCTTAAGTAGCTGGGGAGAGCTGCTATTCCTTCATGTTTACTACATCACATCTGAATGAGATGTCTTTTCACTTTCAAATGCTGACAAAGTTTGTTCATAACAAACAAAGAGAAAAATGCTTGGTTGTTGTTGTTTTTAACTTGGACAGCTTCCAATATGATACAGACGATATGAATCCAAAGCTTCAACAGATCCGACTATATTCTCTTTCTAAATATCACAGTATCATAAGTTCTTAAGAAGGATCAGGGAAAGGACAAGTGTCCTAAATATCTCCACAGTGGCACAAAAAGAAACAAAAATATTTTGTTATTTTCAACTTACTGAGCAGCAGCAGGCAGTTCTTCTGATTGAGAAGGCGCTTGGTGACATCTCCTGATATTAGTGTTGTATATGGGCAGTTCATTTCACCCAGTAACCCACTCATTTCAAGCTGGAACTCATCTGCTTCCGTGGGACCTTAAAACACAGATCATTTTCATTTAAGAGGTTCAACTATTAACTCTTTGTCACGAGTTAAGACAAAGTTACATTATGAAGAGACTGCTTCCATACATGTTATCAAGATTCAAGGCTGAAGATTAAAATAGCCTATTTCCTTTTTAAAAAACCCAAAAAATATGATTAACATTTCAAACAAAATTAAGAACTCAGGTGATACAGAATGGCAAAAATAGTGTCTTCAAATGAACACTTGGGTGGGGGGAAAGCTCACTTGTACAAAATATAGTGGAAGACAACTACTAAATTTGATTCCATGGGTATGTAGGCAAAAACAGAATGTGGCATTGGGCACAGTATTCAGCTTCCTGAGAAGTTCAACTTGCATGTGAAAAACCTATCACATCAGATTTGGAAGCATCTATACCAGCACAAGTTTTCAGAGTTAATAAGACACAAATAAATCAATGGTGTCAGACTCATGATTACTCACTGTTAGTCGCTTGCACATTTTCTTCTAGTTTGCAAAAGAGCCTTAACTCTGACACTAGCCAAGCACAGAGTTTAGTATATTCAGGGGAACTGGCCCCCCCAGAAGCTGCCTGGGTCAGAGCACCGTCTTCTAACAATGGGCCTTTGTAACTGGCAAACAAACAAAAATAAGAACATGTTATTAAAAGCCACTGTACAATTTCTGAGGTATGTAATCCATGCATATTTGGTGATAACACCACTAACACTTCAATATATTTATCTGGAACACCAGTCATTTCAAAGGTACTTCCTTCAAATTAGCATGCTTTGAATTGAAGTCTATATCCTCATCAGCATCTTTATTTTTTTGCTCACAATCTTCCCTTGTTATAATTATCTCTCTCATTCCTTCTTCTCCCTAATGCCTGATGCCCTTGCCTCTATCTCCCTTTGGTCCTTCCTCTACTGCTCCTTGCCCTTGCAAAGTTTAGATTATAAGCTCCTTGGTGCAAGGAACTGTCCTCTTTTTGTCAGCTGCTGGATTGCATTTAGACTGGAGATGTAAGATACATCCAAACAACAATAAAAGTAAAGTAGTGAAGATAAGGGGGAAATATACATTCATTTTTGGCTGCACTAGCATGCTACTTCTCCCCACCACCACGTCCCTGAACAACAGAATCAAGGAGAGAATTCAAAGAACTGATGCAGATGTTTTGGGACAACTGCCCAGCCAGCCATAACAATGCCAAAGAGATAAGCCCCTGTTCTGCTTTAAAAGCAGCTTTTCTCTTTCAAACTGGGAACCACTGTACTCACAGTACTACCCCATGCATGCACTTTCAGCACTTCTTTGGATCCCAATCCAGGTCTTTACTGAATAATGCAAGCAAATTTGTTTTTGAGAACACACATGACAAAATTCCTTACCATTCATAGTGTATTATCTATTACTACTATTTACAGAAAACTCAGAAGATTTGCAACAGTAAGCAAAATCCTCTGTTGCAGGCATTTTAAAATTTTCTGCAGCAGGTATTTCTAAATATTTGCTAGCTTATCATCTTTTTTCCCTGAAAAGCCAAACAAATCAAAACAAAAACTACAGGAATTGTGCCATCTTACAAAAAGCAGCAGCAGCAGCAGCTAGAGAAATGTTCCAAAAGCAATGAGAACCTTTTGTACAGTATGCTTTTAATTGTGTGGGTACAAGAGAGAAATAGCATTACTAGTCCCCACACCACATAAACGGAGCATCACGCTTGCCTTATAGAAAAGGCTAAAGCATGATTAACATTAGTCTAGGCAGGTTTCCTTGGTACTATGTCTCACTGTGTTCATTTAGGCTTACTTTTACATATGTGTAGGGCTGCAGCATGAGAAATACTTTGTGCTAAAAGGGAAGGATGAATGGCAACTGATTCATATTGTAGAATATATTTATAGGGAATAACAGTAAATATTATGGAGAAGGAGTACTGAGGTGGTGGTGGGAGTCAACATTGTAGAAATTTCTTTGTGGAGGTTTTTTAAATGATGCTGGACTGCCAGATAGATTTTTTTTAAGTCTGCTGATTGAATGTGGCCCTGCCTTCATGCACAGCACATGGCGGTAACACCAAATACTCTGTGATCTTGGGATGCCTTGAAAGGTGGTGGAGGCAGACGGCTGATTTGCATTTTCAACCATTTTTAGTGCTATTAGACAACGCTGTGAGATTCACAAAGCAGTTCATAATTCAGTTGAACGTAAGTTTGTTTCATTTGCAGATGATATACTTTTGTTCATTTCAGAACCTCAGACCAGTATACCCATCTTGATGCAAATGATAAGACGCTTTTGGTAAAATATCAGGTTATTCTGCTAATTGGTCCAAATCAAAACCCTCCTCCAAAATAAAGCTCATAGTGGTTCCCAAATCCAGTTCCTCTCCACAGCTGCTTTATTTCAGAAATAAATCATATGGTTGGAGACTGTTTACTAGGCCAAAGAGAATGGATCTTTCAATGCGCAGAATGTTATCTTGTTAAGAAACCGCTATAGATATTGCCTTTTTCTAACACTGAGCACTAACCTCCCCTCCCCACCTCCACGCAACTCCCCCCCCAACAACACTTCAAGAATTTAGTGATGATTAGTACTGTAAATGATTGCCCCACAAAACACAGAGCACGGGGGTGAGGACACATAACAAAAAAAAACAAGTTATTTAGACATATTTGCTCTCATACATACCCGAGGTCTTCCAGCGACTCTAGGATGTCATTCTCCATGAGCTCAAACTCCATTTCCGGGGCTTCAGAATGAGCACAAAAGAAAAAGGGGGTTGGAAAAACCTAGAACCTGCAATTAACAAACCCAGACTCGGTTAGCAACGCCTGAGGGAATGCAGCGGTCACCATCATGACTGGCGCAGAGTGGCTTGAATGCCCTGCTCGCCTCACGGCCTGGGGAGGGGGATATCGAGCTCGCCCCACACAGACCTGCCCCCCACACCAGGAACAGCCCCACTGAATGCCCAACCACCGACCCCCCCCTTCCCAGGCGACACTGACCCAGAGGTGGGCAGGCGTTCAGGGGCTCCTGCTTCCGTTAAGAACTGGCTCTGGCCTGCCTGGCCCCCACCTCCCCGCCCTACTGAGGGGCGCCGTTCCATCCCGCCCAGCAGCGCCCCAAACCTCCTACCCCGCAACCTACCTTTCGTGCAGCTGCTCCGCCGCCGACTGCTGGGTTGGCATGTCAGGAGGTGGGGGAAGGGCGAGGAGAGGGGGAAGGCCCCCTTTGCCTGACCTTTCACCTCACGAGGGGGGGCGCCTCCAATCTCGCCTGATTGAAAAAAATGCTCCGCTCTACGCCTTGACAACCCTCCTGTTCCCTCACACTCTGCCTCTAACGGTTCATATTGGTCTAAGAAAGCCTCTCTTTTTATCCCTTAACGCAGGAAGTTATATTTCAGAGCGTCAATAAATATTTTCTTCAGGCACAACTGTTGGACAGCCCTGAGAGGACTTTCTCGCTTTCCCTTTCCTATCTCTATATAAAGGAACCACGTTGGGGGAAAAAACCCTGGGCCTGAAAGGAGGAGGAGTGGACGTTGTGGGAGAAGGGACAAACTACTTCAAGAGACGGGCGTTTCCGCTTTGTGAAACTACACGAACCAGCATGCAATGGTTCACCTTTCGCTACTCTCCTAGCCGTTCAGCTTTTATGGAAGCTGCGCTGAAGGAGCAAATATCGGCGTCCTCGTGAGAAATGGAATCTCTTCTAGTTATTGAGGATTGCTGAAGCATGATGAAAATAGTATAGAGTGGCGGCCAACAATAGCTATTGCAAATTACCACTTTCAGCCCCGAAAAGTGGTAATTTTGCAGTAGCTATTACCACTTTTGCAAACTAAGGAATAAAAGTATGACACGGGGTCTTCTCAGGAGCACAAAAAGTAGATGAGCAGGTAAAACTGTTCCAGGACTGTACCACTTCAGATTGCAGGTGTGATAATCAGGAAAGAGAGAAAGACCTTCCCACTGACCTCCCTAGCGCAGTGCTGCTGACATTGCAATGTGTCCACTCAGAAATAAGCCACGCTGCCTTCTAGCAGTCTTATTCCCAGGTAAGCAAGCATAGGATTCCAGCCTGCCTAAGCCTTCCATTTGTAGCCAGCCAGTCTGTAGGATGGTGAAAGAAGAGACGGCAAGGCCCATTTCCATCAGCTGTATTTTATTTTTATTTTGCTAGTCACACATCTTATGAAAACAGGATTGTAATAGAGATTAAGGAGAACAGATAGCCATTTCTTTAACATGCAAAGAAGGAACCTGTGACTTTTCAGATGTTGGACTCCCATCAGCCCCAGCCAGCTAAGGCAAAGGTCAGGGATGATGGGAGTCCAAAAACCAGTCTTTGCTCCATGTTAGATTCTATGTGTGAATCCCACCCCCAAAGTAATTCAGCCTACCTCAAGGGTGGTTGTGAGGATAGGTGAAGAACCATGTACACCACCATGAACTCCTTGGAGCAGTCAGGCTATAACTGTAAAATATATCTGCCTTTCATAGTCCAGTAGCAATTTTAGTGCTTTATTTCTTAGCACTATTACTCCCTGCCCCCACCATTGATGACCACTTTCTCTCATTCTACCAGCTTCGCCCATCTTCCTCCTGTGATGGTTTATAAAGTGAGAACTGTCCAATGATAATTGTTTCATGTGAGTTTGCTAAATAACATAGGTGGAGGTGTGTGAATACTTCATTTTGTTTATGGCAAGAAAACTGTCTCTGCAAGGAAAGATGGGGTTTGTCCAGCAGTGCTTCTTAGCGGATCAAAGGGTTGATCCCAGGTAAGAAAGCAGCTACAGCAGAAACGAGGCAACCCAAAGCTCTCAATGCTACTGTCAAGGGTGTTCTTTAGGAAAGGGCAAATCCTATCTAGTTGGGCCCTGAGAGACTAGCTGAAAAGGTGCTTCATGGTATATGTTTGAAAAGGAACCAGTAAGTTCACAAATGTTCTAAGATAAACTGTAAAATGCCACTTTGAGCTCAAGCAAAATGTGCTACAAATAATTTACATGCTTGAGACACATCTTGGGCGAAAAGATATAGTGGGCAAAGAATAATTTATAGCCCTGAAGAACTGGCCTGCTCCAAAGACTTTATGAAAAATACAAATCATTGGGGTGGCAGTGCAGCAAATTTTCTGGACAATACAGTAAATCTACCACATGGGTAGTATGAGGCTGGACTCACACCAGAGAAACTTAAACAACCAAGTGATCTAGATATAATTTGGCATTGAACCAGAAGACCTCAGGTTTATATGGCTGCAGTTGGCCATCCCAAAATGCAGAATGATGCCACTTGCAGAGGTACTGCCTTGTCATATTTTCAGATTTAGATTGTGGAAGATAACTTTTTCCAAGATCTGTTAAATCGGCTAGCAGAATCAGAACCTCTTCTTTGGCATGATGTCATTCTGGAGCAATCAAAGTGCTGGTGAGAGGCTGTTGGAAGGCGACTTTCCCAGCTCTCCAAGAAGCCTCTTTTGAGTGACCCTCCTGAATAGGAAAAAGAATTAAAAAAAATAGACATCCTGCTCACAGGAGGTACTTCTGCCTGCTTTTTAGACATCCACAACTTTCCACGAACCATTCTTCACCCATCCAGGAGCGTTTCCCAACCCTCAGAATGTTTTTTGAGGCACTTGGAAAACTGCTGGGAGCAAGAGAGGTTGGGGAAGTCATAACCTAAGAAAAAAGCCCTGCTGGCTCAGACCAAAGGCCCATGTAATCTAGCATTTTGTGGGCAAGCTTATACCTGCATGAATATCCCACTTTTAGCTGCATTCATTTCCTGAAACATAATTGTGTTGTAGGAGATTCATGAGATATACTGCCCCCCTACCCTAGCTGGATCACACCAAAGGCAAGGCCTATCCAGCATTCTGTTTAGTAGCCAGCCTATATGAGAAGCCCACAAGCAAGGATTGAGCACAACAGCATGCACCCTTCTCTCCTACTCATGCCTTCCCGGCGATTCATTTTCAGAAGCATCAGACTAGATACAGTGGCAAGTCAATTCCATTGTTAAACTGAATGCTGTTTGAAGTACAGTGGTACCTCAGGTTAAGTATTTAATTCGTTCTGGAGGTCCATTCTTAACTTGAAACTGTTCTTAACCTTTAGTGCCACTTTAGCTAATGGGGCCTCCCGCTGCCGTTGCACCTCCAGAGCACGATTTCTGTTCTCATCCTGAAGCAAAGTTCTTAACCCGAGGTACTATTTCTGGGTTAGCGGAGTCTGTAACCTGAAGCGTCTGTAACCTGAAGCTTTTGTAACCTGAGGTACCACTGTACTTCATTTTGTCCTGAATCTCTCACCATTCAACTTTAATGGTTGATCCCAGAGTCTAGTATTATGGGAGACCTATCCACCTTTTCTACAGCACCATGCATGGCATGCTTTGGCAGCCCCATGCTTCCCTGGATCCAAGCATCATTTTTAAAACAACTGCTAGACAGGCTTCATGAAATAGTGACTGGAAGCACTGTATCAATCAGATCCTGGTTTAACATTTGAATTTTTAATCAGTTTTCACATTGAGATAAGGAATAAGACACTTGCTGCTCTGCACTGAAATAAAGTTAATTATGTAGTTCAGGGCTGGGGGGAAATTGCTTTCCAGAAGTTGCTGAACCACCACTCCCATAATCTCTTACAAACATTGGCCATGTTGGCCAGAACTGATGTAAGTTGGAGTCCAACATTTGGGGCTGCAGATACCCCACACTGATGTACTTACTAAAAAAAGTTGTTGAAATAATGTCATGGTGCAAAAAGAAAACCCAGACACCAGAGTAATTTTACAATAAGCATTTTAATGTATTTGTTTAAAATACAGTGATTTGACACATTTCATGATGATACCAGAAATTTTATAGTAACAGGTAACTATGGATAATTAACTTTCATTTTTGTTATCTACCTCTTTTTCTTTTACATTATGAAGCTCACCTGAAATATTCCACTCCAGTATACCTTCAGGACAGGAAGAACTGGGCAAGAAAACTCCCCCCCCCCGAAAAAAGGGGGGACACAGTTCATGCAAATAAATACCAACCTTGTTATTGTTAGATCTGTTCAAATATTCTCAGGAAGTATCAGAATTGCTCAAATAAACTAGAAATAAAGGGTGGTCATCAAGAGTTAACACTGCATATTTATCAAACCATTGCTTTTTGCCCTGTCATTACCCTTGTTTTATTTTGTCTATGCTAGAGGCTTCTGCTGTGCAACCCTCCCCAAGGCTTCTCTAGAATGGAATGCCAAGGTCTCTTGCAAAAGTACTGGCTGGTCACAACATAAAAATTACTCTGCTCCCGAGGCCTGAAATGCATACAGGATTGCCCTGTTGCCATACTTTTAAAAACAGCAACTTGGAAGTTACTTAAAATACTTTCCCCCCACCCCCCCCATTCTAATATTGCCAGGTAGTTTGGCAACCAGTCTTATTTCTATTCCACTAACCTATGTTCAGCTGCTGACTTTTCAACTAAATGTTAAAAAAGATTCAGAGGACTTCCTCCCAGTGTTAAAGCTAAAAACTTGAGAATTAGCATTGTGCTTTGCTCGTTCCGATGGTGTTGGATTTTTTGTATGCTGGAGTGGAGGGAAAAGATCACTTTAATGCATGGAAACTGCCAGTAGCTTCTCCAGGTATATTATTTTTTAAAAGTTGGCGTGAGGGTGGAGATGCAAAATCCCTATCCATGGAAGAATGCAATCCCCACCCCTAACTTTTAAAAATGTAAATGTCAGACACCAGCAGGAGAAAGAATGTGTTGTTCTTTAAGTGCTCTCAAGAGACACTAATCAGGGGGTAGTCAATGCAGTGCCCTCCAAATGTTGTTTACAGCTACCATCACTCCTAAGTACAGGCCATGCTGGCTGAGAGCTACAGTTCAAAACACCTGGAAAGCACTACATTGGACCTCCATGCAGTAACCAACAGGCTCCCCTGCAATTAGGGCAGTGAAGGAGGGGAAGGCACGCTAATTCAGCAGCTAACGGGCAAGACCCCAGGAACGATTCAACAAGTTGCGAAACATCATCAGGATCTGACGCAAATCACTATGACCGCATATGCACCATACATTTAAAGCACACACCTGAAGAATCGTAAGAACAGTAGTTTGAGAAGAGTGCTGGGAATTGTAGCTCCATGAGGTGCAAACCACAGTTCCCAGGAAGCATGGGTGGGTGGGTGTGCTCGAAATGGTTTGTGTACACCACTTAATCACTCTAATGTGATAAACAACCCCTTGTCTAGGAAGACTTAGAATGATATCCAACGTCAGTCATACTCAAGACTCACTGGAAAAAATGAATTAACATAGCTTGTTTGCACTTTAACTACCTGTACTTTTTAATCTAAGGACTCAGCTATACAGCTGCAAATAAAACATAGTGTTTTAAGTGCAATATACAATGTTACACTAGATAGCGATAGTGAGCCTTCTGCTAAGTTCAATGTATTTTTAAAAATGTTTTCTTTTCTTTTTTTTTTAAAAAAAGCATTTTCAGAACGATTTTTATATTTGTGTAGATTCCACCTAAGTGCCCTGAAATGTATCCATACCAATATTTATTTGCCCCCAAGTATTTAAAATTTAATTCTCAAATCTAAGCAAATGCTTGGTGTTAGTAGTGGCCGATGACCACTTAAATTAAATGTAGCAACACACTAATGCACATGTATTATGCAATCACATTCTATGAGAGTCCTCTTATTCAGATGAGAATAAAAAATGTGCCAGAGAACAATACCCATAATATTCAAGAGGCTACTTATATTCAATGCAACTATGATATTGTCTCCCCAACTAACAGGAAGAATCCCAGATCCGTAACAAAAAAGACAACACTGTAGATGCATGCATATGTTAATAACCTGAAACAATTCATTCTGAATCCCTAGAACTTAATTCAGCTTGTATAAACTTTAAACATTAACCTTCACTGAAGTTGCAGAAAACCACCTCAATGATCTTTGTTTACTAAGGTAGCTGGTGACCACAGACATATTTTCTGGTGCTTACAAGAAAATTAAATTGTATTTGAGAGAAGTTAACATGTGTCACTACACCCGTACACAACCAGCTGTCTTGTACACTTAACTATTTCTACCCCTTTTTCTAGGACCAGAAAAAGTTTTTCCTGAAATTTCCAGCATTTGGCTTCATTGGATGGTAAAAATTATAGAATGGAGTTTTTCTTCCTACCATACATGATTTTCTACATCCTTATCATCACTTATTGGGCTTTTGGATAAGATCAAGTGTACTCACCTCTTTTCTAAAATAAAGAGCCCTGAATGTTGTTAACCTTTCCTTATGCAGTTATTGTTCCAGTCCCTTGATCCAATTTGGTTGCCTTTTTCTGAACCTTTTCCAACTTGAGGTGACCAAAACTGCACAGAGTATTTAAAGTGTGGTCTCGCCAGATATGTATAACATTATATTGGCAGTCTTAAAGATCCCGAACGTGTACATCACTTTTGCCATTTGGTTCACGCTTATCCTCTATGTGTCTCATTCCTGGCCAGTCACTGAAAATTCAGGTCCCATTAGCATATATATAGTACTTAAAAGTATGATCTCTCTGTACCTTACTTTGCATTGCATTTGCCATCTTACTGCCCATTCACCCAGTTTGGAGATCCTTTTGGAACTGCCTGCAATTCTTTTTAGCCACATTGAACAATTTGCTATCAGCAGCAAACTTGGCTACCTCCCTGATCAACCCAAACTCTAGATCATTAATGAATACATTAAGAAGTACAGGTCCCATACTGATCCTTTGGAGTCCTCCATTGGGAGAACTGTCCATTTATTCTTACTCTGTGCTTCTTGCTACTTAACCAATTCCTGATCCATAAGAGGACCTCTCATTTCATGTCTGTTACGCTTATTCAGGAGTCTTTGGTGAGATACTTTATCAAATGCTTTTTAGAAGTTTAAGTACACAGTATCAACTGGGTCACCTCAACCGATATGCTTGTTGACACTCTCAGAGAACTCTTAGAATGTTGAGACAGGACTTACCCTTGCAGAAGTCATGCTGGTTTTGTTTCAACAACTCTTGTACTTTTATATACCTCACAATTCTATCTTTAATAATGCTTTCCACCAATTTTCCTGGAACAGATGTTATGCTAACTAGCCTGTTATTTCCCACATTCCTCCCACCGCAAAAAAAAAAAAAAGTTGGCTACTTTATAGTCCTCAGTGTGTCTGATCTTGGGAACTATCTTTTTGTTAAAAGATCAGCAATTTCACATTTGAAATCTTTTAAGAAAGGCCAGGTGGATGCCACCCAGACCCTGTGATTAGTTAATTTTTGTTAATAAGGGCAATCCCTTGTCATCACAATTTGTTTCTGTTTCATCACATTGTGAATTCATGTGCATAGGTAAACTCTTACTATCTTGCTATTCAGTATCGTTTTCTACTGTAATGCAGTTTTCACATAGAACTGTCTGAACTGAAAGAACTTCTCTCAACATGAACTAACATCAATTAAGTTACCCGTTACATTTTTTAACTACAATTCTATCAATAAAATGAAGGCATTTAGAATAAAAAAAAAAGGTTCTTCCCCCTTCCTTTTGGAGCGTTCTTATGCATGAAGTAGGAGTTTCAATCCAAGTTTGTGAGGGGAAAAGCATAGTCATGGTAGGTAATATGGATAAGAAAATAACAAGAGATTGTGGTGTAATGCAGGGATGGCCAATGTGGTACACCTTCCAGATACTGTTGGACTAAAACTCCCATCAGCCCCAGAAAGCATGGCTTTTGGCCAGGGATTATGGGAACTGTAACCCAACATCTGGAAGACATTGGATAACACCAGTGTGGAAGAGATACCTCCTCAGCTCTGAAGCTCATTGGGTAGCCTCAATCTAGTCACCATTTCTTAGCTCAATATACCTCATAGAACTGTTGATTATTATAAAATGGACAGAAGATAGAGCCTGTAACTCCTTGAAGGAAGGATAAAATTGGAAGAAATATCAGATGAAACCAGTGTTTATTGGATTTCACTGGAATAAGTTATTGGAGGCAGAAAATGTTTACTAAACTTACTTCTTTGATCAAAACCACAAATCCACAGATGTGTGCAGCTGCAACAGCAGTGTGACCTCTACTGCACCTGTTGATATTCCAAGCAAAGTAAGAAGCATGTCTTTGCTGCCCCACCACCTGAAATCCTGTTCATCTATACTATCAAGCAGAGTACAGAACTGTAGCAGCAGAGTTGGCTTCCGAGTTGTCAGTAACCTATGGATACAGACAAGCAAAGCAACCACAATCCCACCTCTTCCTTTATGCTATCTTGCTTCTGATATTGGTAATGGTGGTTGCTAGCAGTAATTCCTACATTTGTACCTGTGTAATGTTCTGGGTCAGCACAGAAGTGTGAGTGCAACAGTGTAGGCTGAACAACTGATAGCACAAATTAATTGTATTTCCACCATACTTATTTACTTAATTCAACTGCATTTTAAATTAGCATAAACCCTTTTTCTGTTTTTTAACAGTTCATATCCCACTTTACAAACACTAACTTTATTTGTGGACATCTTTTAAAACATAATGAAAACCAGAAGTTTTCAAAGCATTTTTACCATACTGTTTTCTTTTAAAATTGAAAGAACGTAAGTTACACACCATGTTTAACCTGCTGAATATTTAAGCAAAGTTTTCTCATAATGCTGCATAATTCATGGCTTGATTTAATTTCCAGTGTGGTGAAAATGGGAAATTAACTGAAGAACCAGTTGTCTGAATGTTCACAAAAAACAACTTGTAGAACCACTTATTTAAAGAACAAAGGGGGAAATGGCAATATCTTTGATATATTGGGTTTATTTTAGATTTACAGATAAACCTTTTATATAGATCCATGCAAACATTTACTTCATATCTTGACAAGCTGAATAAGCGAAAAACCTTCACAAAACAGTATTTTGCGGCTCAGGGGTTCATTCAGGCATGTAATGTCTGGGTATGTGAAGTGAATCCAATCCTGAGAGCAAAGTTGAGATCTTCTATTTCTTCTGAGCTGGGCAGCTGCTAAACAATTCAACACAAACAGTTACTGCATTACAATACAATGAAATGAAATGTGATTTCAAATCATGTAAGTGACCTCAATATGCAGAGTCCA